GTCTTTTACTGGGGATTAGACAGGATGCAGATCCTCTGGGAGTGGGGCTGGTGCACACACTCCATCCTCTCAGCCTGTTCGACGTGGCACTTTCTCGCGATCGGCTCCTTAATTATTTAGGCGGCGCGGGGACGTGGGGATCGGGTATCGGAGCAGCCGATTGTGTCGCGGGCTGGGGTGGCTCCCGGGTTCCCGACACCCTGCTGCTCCGCTCGGCTCGCCCCCTCACGAGAGTAACCCCACCCTCCTCCCGTCCGAGCAACTCGGGGAAAACATTCCTGAGCCCCGGGCGAGGAAGTGGAGAGCTCAGCTGTTTCTTTCGCTGCGTGTCTGCTGAGTCCACAAACAATCCTGTGACTTTCTTTTTTTAACGAAGAGAATGGGAAAAGGAGAAAGACGGGGACACAGCTGGGGAGGGATGGGAGAGGGAGGCCGGGAGGAGGAGACAGGAGCGCGCTCGGTCCAGGGCAGAGAGAGAGTCTGTGGAAGGGCGGCTCACAGGGAACACTGGTTTCTTTGCTGTGTGTTTTTGTGTTAGAAAGAGGACGGCGTTAATCCATTCGGTCCTCCCCTGTGTCTGTGACTCCATGGCAGCAGGGCCTGTCCGGCCAGGTGACCTCAGCCCTTCAAACCCCACTTCTCGATCAAGGTGACAGGCTGCCTCCCGGGTCCGGTCCTAAATACACTTCCTCATAACTTCCAGTTTCGGTAATAATGGTTCATTGCATTTGTATAGTAAAGTTTATCCCAGAGTGTCCCCAGCTGAAGTGCTGCCCCCAGCTGGGGGACGCACAGCGGCCCCCCTGCACTGCAGATCAGGGGGAGGGGAGAGAAACTGCGGCCGCAGGTGGACAGAGGGGGACCTGTGGGTGGGAGCAGGACTGTCCAGCCCTGAGTGGACGTCAGTCTGGACACTGGGGTTCTGGATACAGGACAGGTGCAGCTCTGCTGGTCTGCAAGTGGGCTCGGTGCTCCAGTGTCCCAGGTCAGGGTGCAGCCCCAGCGCTCATGCAGCGTCCAGCAGGTCTCCACACCCAGGGCTGGGGCACAGGGGACTGGTGGAGCTGCCGTGCCAGCACAGGGGGGCAGAGGTCGTTGGCACAGTACCGCAGGGTGCCCCTCCCTGCTGCGGCCTTGAGATCAGGGTGTGCCTGGGCCTGCAGAGCACAGAGCACGTCAGGCGAGGTGAGTTAACAGGATGCACACAGTTCACCTGCGCGTGCACACACACACACACACACACACGCGCTACACCGCACCCACACGCTGTGCCATCTGTCCGTGCGGATGTGCTTTTGTGATAACAAGGCCATCTTTTGCGAACCGATCCAGTTTGAGAGAGAGAGATGACCTCAAACGCTCCAATCTGGTTAGTCCTCCTCCGTCTGCCTGGCAGCGCCGGGGGGAGAGGGGAGACTCGCTGATGTAAGGGAGGCAGTCGTTGGAGATAATTGTATTTGCTTCCTGCTGCAGTAAAGGCCTGGTTCTGCTTTTATGATGTCAATAGCCGGGTTTCAGGTATCTCAGTGTGGAGAGAGAGGAGGGACAGAGGGACAAGAGAAGGAGGAGAATTTAGAGGAAATTAATCTCTTTAGACTTGAGAAAAAGGATCCCCTTGTAGGAACTTCATCTCTTTAGTATTGAGCTAATGGGATTCACAGCTCAAAGTATCTCCTTAGCCTTCATTTCAAAGAATCCCCTTGCTCTTGAGCAAAGCCTACAGGGAGATGTACAGGGAGCCCTTGTACAGCTTACAGCGAGCCCACAAAGTCCGAATCTGAGAAGACATTGGCCATGTTTGCCCGAAGGAACGTGCCACGTGCCTGGTAGGCTTCACCCCGCCGTGTGTCGATTCTCCTTTAAGGATCCTTTAAGAAACGGCTGGGAGAGACTGTGGGATTAAGGTGACAGATGGATCTCCGCTCTTTTGTAACCTTCCTCGTGTTCTTCAGTACCAAAGGAAGGTGGAGGGGTTTGACTGATCTGATCATGTGTGCCCCCAGCTCCCCCTGCAAGGACTCTGGTGTTTGGGACGGTGGAGAGAAAGGGGCTCTTGTCGTTCTGCCCGATTTTTGATTTTTTTTTTGCGTTCTGCGTGTTTTACACATAACCCCAGTGTTTACAGCCCTGGCTGCTCATAACTGTGCCTTTGTTCTGGGCTCAGGGCCCCATTGTGCTTTGTGTCAGCCGGTTAAAGGGCTGCTTGTCTGTCCTGAGCTCCGCCCAGAGAAAGGGGAAAGGTGTGCTGCCCCTCTGTCTTCCCCTGCGGGGGGGGCTGGGGACCGGCTCTGGGGCGCAGAGAGATCCCAGAGCCCCTGGCGGCCTCTTCCAGGGGGGCCCGGCCTGTGGCGGCTCCCCATCGTCAAGCCTGACCGGTCAGTGACCTGCGTGCGCGCGCGTGTGTGTGGGTACGTCTTGCAGAAAGGAGAACCGAATCCTGCAAGCAGCGTCTAACCCCTAGCACTGCTCGGGCTCGCTTTTAAAGTCTTGAAATCGCCTTCATTGCAAAGCAGTGCTTGGATTTTGTTGTGCGTTAACCCTGGTCTTGCCTGAGTAAAAAAAAAAGTTTGCTATTCGTGATTTTTCACGAGTATGAGTGAGGAGGTGGGCAGTTTGAATCCCAAACACTTGCTGCCCGTCAGCGTTCATTTCCAAAGCCTTTCGCCCCGGGGCGCAGTCTGCCCTCGAGATCCTGAAAACGTTTGCATCGCGCTGAAGGTGCTAAACGATTTGGACACCAAGGAGGTGCGACGGAGATCCAGCTGGCGTTTGTGTGACGTGAGCACAGGCTGAGGTGGGGCTCGCTGGGTCCGTGTGTCGTGGCCCGCGGTGACCCTGTCCGTCCGTCTGTCCGCAGTGGGTCCTGGCCTTCGAGATCTTCATCCCCCTGGTGCTCTTCTTCATCCTCCTGGGGCTCCGGCAGAAGAAGCCCACCATCCCCGTGAAGGAAGGTAAGGGAGAGGGGGGCCGTGTAGGGGCAGGAGAGGCGGAGAGGGGCGCAGAGCCCCAGATAATCGGAGAGGAGGAGAGGAGAGACTGTGACTTTGGCGTACTGGGCTAGTAATACCCCCTCGATGTGACTCCATGCGCCCTGCCTTATCGCACTTCCTTTTCTACCTGGGGAGGGTCCAGGGGCTCCCCAGAATTAAAAGGGAGAATGTCCCCCCCCACACCCCCCCCCAAGATCGGCGCATTCTCCAGGCCCTTGGTGCGTGAGTGTGAGTGTGTCCTGGGATGGACTGGCCCTGGTGTGAGTGTGTGGCCCTGTGAGGGACTGGCGTCCCTTCCAGGGTGTACCCGGCCTTGTGCCCATTGCTTGCTGGGATAGGCTCCTGCTACACCCCCCCAAGTCTACTGCAAGTGCTGTGGGCCTGAATTCAGTTCTGATTTTACTGCTTTCAAATTAAGCAGCAGCAGTTTTGTTCGGCGTTGAAACTGGGGGGTCTACTGTATATTGAGAGGTCCTTCCTGAAAAGCGGAGTCCCCCGTTCCTGTTCTTTGTGAAAAGACGAGCTGCACCTAAACACCCACCCCCCCCACACCTCTGCCCCCCCGAGCAGGCAGGTCCCGCTGTGAGGCCGCGCAGGTCGGTCAGGCGCTCTGTGGGCAGTTGAAAAATGTCCCTTTCCGGCCATCTGGACGTCGGCGGCCACAGACGGAGAGCGATTTTCACGTGGGATGTGTGTGTCTGTTCCGCCCAGACGAGTGAAGCCTTTCTACGACGTTGTTTTCTCCGTCATTAGTATTGATTTATCTGTTTGCTTATTTGTCTTTTTTTTTTCTCCTTTTCCTTCTCGTTTTTTTGTGCTCCCTTTCCCTTTTATTTTTTTTGTTTCCAAACGTCGACACTAAAAAAACAAAATGTTCTGTTTTTTCCGGTCCTCTGGTTTCTGTCTCTCTGCTCGGTGCTTGTCCCTCCTGCATGCCATCCAGTCTGTAAGTTTCCGCTGATATCTTTTCATTAAGCTTCGTTCTGCCCCCGATTTCTTCTCTCTTTCTTTTCTAACGTGGGTGGACCTTTTCCGAGTGGCAGTGGAAACTGGGGTGCAAATGCCTGGCTGGGTTACCCACCCCCCCCCCGTCCCCTCTCCCTTGCTCCGTGTGCCTGTGTCTCTCTCTCTCTCTCCCTTCCTCCTGTCCGTCACCAGGCCGGGGAAGTTTTAACGAGCTTTGAAATCTGCTGGCTAATCTCGTCCTTCTAATTTGGCTAATGCTGCAGACCCCCCGCAGACAGCAGGGTGGGAGGGTATTAAACACGCAGGCTGGGGGGGGGTGATGCTCACGCTGTAGAAAAGAGTCCATTTAAAGACAGGCAGAAGCATCGCTAGCTTGCTCACTGGTGGCGAGAAAACATCCCAGGCTGCAGGGGGCGCTGTGGCGGGGCGCCTTTGGCAGCCCCTCTCCCTGCACTGGCTGGGGGGCGGCGGGGGGAACCCAGCCATGAAAAAGCCAGCTGGCTGCCTGTTTGATAACGCCCGTTGTAGCGCCCCCCTGGTGGTAGAGTCTATGAACTGCAGCAGCAACAGCAGCCCCACCTGACTCTGTCTGCAAGCCCCGCCCCCGTCTGTCCCTCTCTCCTCTGCTCCTAACGGCATCCCACTGACTGGGTCTGGTTCACTGATCTACTGGGTTCTGGGCTTTCGGTGGCTGATCCACTGATACTCATTCTAACACTTTGAATAACTTTGCAGCTGGTTGTCTTTGGCGTTGGACCCGGGGGGGACACAGGTGTCAGGGACGCATGTTCCAAGAACGGATATGACTCCCACTGCACGGCTGTTTCATCCAGTCCGGGTTTTCTGAACTACCGGCTCTTGTGTGGAATCCTGCACCCGGTGTGGGAAATTTACAGTGCACTACCTTGTTTAGATTTAGAATCTAAACATTGCTAGACAACCACAACCACAAGTACTCAGTAAGGCTGCTTTTCTCAGTTGTCGGTACAAATCAATCTGTGAGTTTGCAACCAGTAAAACCTGGAATGGGCTGTGCTGCTGTGCATCTGGGGTCTTATCCTGTTCCCTCTGTATTAGCATGGACTAAGATTATAGCTGTTCCAAATTATGAAGCCATTGGTGCAGTTTTGCTGAAATAACCAGGAGAGAATCTTCCTGACCTGTTGCACATGGAGGGCGCACCTGTTGATAGTCTTTATTTCAGCACGATTGTCCACGTGATTCTGTCGTCTTTCATTGAGAAACTAGAGTTAAACATGTTACAGTTAAAGCCGCAGTCAAAGGTGCTGTATCTGACCTCGGCCTGCTCTTCCCAGAACTGCCCCCGAGATGTCAAGGTAGAACGTAGGGAAAATCTGGATCCGAGATGAGACCTGTGTCCTCCTGGGTCCTCCCATCTTTGCTCCGATTTAACGACCTCTGATCTGTGATGGCTCTCTCTCCTCCCCCTTCTCTTTCTCTCGTTCCCTTAATCTCTCCCTCTTTGGGTCCGGGTCTGTTTCTCCCCCCTTCTTGGCCCCTGGATACTCTTTCTGTCCCTCTCCCTCTTTCTCTCCTGTCTTTCCCTCCTCCTTCCTGTCTCTACTTCCTTCTCTCTCTCCCTCTCTCCTCTTTCCTCTCTCTATCTCTACCTCCTTTCCTCTCTCTCCTCCTTCCTCTCCCTCTCCATCTCTCTCCTCCTTCCTCTCTCTCTCCCTCTCTCTACCTCCTTTCCTCTCCCTCTCTCTCCTCTTTCCTCTCCTCCTCCCTCTCCCTCTCTCTCTCCTCTTTCCTCTCTCTCTCCTCCTTCCTCTCCCTCTCTCCTTCCAGCGTTCTACTCTGCCGCCCCTCTGACCTCGGCCGGGATCATTCCCATCATGCAGTCCCTGTGTCCGGACGGCCAGCGGGACGAGTTCGGCTTCTTGCAGTACAAGAACTCCACGTGAGTGTGCCCCCGCGTCTCTCCGCGCTGCTCTCCCCAGCGGGCCGGGCCGGGCCCGTCTCGGAACCGTGTAAATCGAAGATCCCAGAAGAAAAAACCCGGAGCTGGATTCTGGCACGCGGGGTTTGAACAGGAATGGCTGCAGTCCGGAGCTGCAGCGTATCCGGAAACCCCTCTCGCCTCACCCTCTGCCCCCCCCCCCTCGGTCCCGCAGGGTCACCCAGCTCCTGGAGCGGATCAGCGAGGTGGTGGAGCAGAACCACCTCTTCGACCCGGACCGGCCCGGACTGGAGGAGGAGCTGGAGTCCCTGCGCCACCACCTGGAGAGCCTGGGCTCCGCGCCCAGCGGCCTGGAGGGCGGCTTCAACACCAGCCGGGGTGAGTCCGGTCCGGCAGTCCGATCCGTCTCGCCTTTTGGCATCCACGCGGCTGATGAGCCACCTGTGCTGCAGAAGCAGAAGGAGAGAATGTAGCTTGTGTGTCATCTCATTTTAATGCCGTATCGGGCTGCAGAGGATGCAAATATATTCAAGCTTAAGCACCAGGCTCAAAATAGCCAGAGTGGGATGAGGTGTAGACTTCATGGGAGACACATTTGCATCTGCAAACACCAGTGGACGCTGATCAGCTACCTTTACACAAAAGCCCATATAGCGCCCTCTGGTGGGTTCTGGTCTGGTCTAGTGGGAGCCGTTTCGTTTGTGGTTCTGTCTGCGCTTGTGGTTTCCGGAAGCAGCCTGTGCAGGAAACAGGTGCCTGCGCAAATCGTGGGAATAGGAGCGCCCTTCCTGTCTTCGCAGTCCCCGAGATCTGC